ACTTTGTCACAGTAGGGACTTGTCATAGCTGAAGCAATATACCCCTGACTGCAATAACGGAATTAGAACTGACACTGCATATCCCCCAGACCTCATTCTTTAAACAAAGGAATGATATGAAGATACTGTAACATAAGTTTTTGTAGAAAACTCTAGCCTTTTAAAAAAACCTTAGTGCTTTTTAAAGTTTTGCCCAGTGTGCAAAAGCAACCCCAAACTGCTCTAAAGACTTTCATAGATTAAAAGGCCAAAAGAGACCATTGTGATCTAGTCTGATGACCTGGATAGCACGAGCCAGAGAACTTTCCCCCAAATAATTCCTAGAGTAGCTCTTTTAGAAAAACAGCTAAGCTTGATTCAAAAATTGTCAGTGATGGAGAATCCACCATGACCCTGGTAAATTGTTCCAATGATTAACAACTTGCACCATTAAAAATGTATGCCTTCTTCCCAGTCTGAATTTGTCAAGTTTCAACTTCCAGCCATTGAATCATATTGCATCTTTCTCTGCTAGATTGAAGAGCCCGTTATTAAATATTTGTTTCCTGTGTAGGTAACTCAAACTGTAATCAAGTCACCTCTTAACTTTCTTTATGGTAGACTCTAGGAGCTCAATCTGTTTAGTTTATCACTGTAAGGAATGCTTTCTAATCCTTTAATTATTCTCATGGTTCATAGGTGGCACGTGAACCGCCCTTTGGGGGAGGCTAATCCCCAGTCCCTCCCCTTCTGCCTGAGGTCCCACTCCTTCCCCGCCAGAGCCCAGAGCCCCTGCACCAGAGCCACTATCCACCCCCCGGCACTCCCTGCAGAACACACACCTCCAGCCACAGAGCGGCGGGGCAGGGGGCAGGGCCGGCTCCAGGGTTTTGGCCGCCCCAAGCAGCCAAAAAAACCCCAAACAAACAAAAAAAAAGCCAAGTATCAGAGGGGTAGCCGTGTTAGTCTGAATCTGTAAAAGGTAACAGAGGGTCCTGTGGCACCTTTAAGACTAACAGAAAAAAAAAGCCGTGATCGCGATCTGCGGCGGCAATTCGGCGGGAGGTCCTTCGCGCCGAGCGGGAGTGAGGGACCATCCGCCGAATTGCCGCTGAATACCTGGACGTGCCGCCCCTCTCTGGAGCGGCCGCCCGAAGCACCTGCTTGCCAGGCTGGTGCCTGGAGCCGGCCCTGGCAGGGGGTAGGCAGTGCGGCTCCAACCCCAGAGCGCTGGGGTGGAGGGCAGCATGGCCACCCCAGCCTGGCCATGGGGAAAGAGCGGGAATTGGAAGCAGGGAGGAGGGGGCCTGAGGACAGAGCCATGCTGGGCTGTCTGGGGAGGCTCAGACTGCCCTGGCCTGTGATACCCGCCTCCCATGTCGTAGCTCTTCTCTGAACCTTCTCTAATTTATCAACATCATAAGAACATAAGAAGAGCCAGACTGGGTCAGACCAAAGGTTCATCTACCCCAGTATCCTGTCTTCCGACAGTGGCTAATGCCAGCTGCCCCAATGGGAATGAACAGAACAGGTAATCATCAAGTGATCCATTCCCTGTCGCCCATTCCCAGCTTCTGGCAAACAGAGGCTAGGGACATCATCCCTGCCCATCCTGGCTCATAGACATTGATGGACCTATCCTCCATGAATGTATCTAGTTCTTTTTTGAACCCTGTTATAATCTTGGCCTTCACAACATCCTCTGGCAAAGAGTTCCACAGGTTGACTGTGCGTTGTGTGAAGAAATACTTCCTTTTGTTTCTTTTAAACCTGCTGCCTATTAATTTTATTTGGTGACCCCTAGTTCTTGTGTTTTTGATTGGACATGTTTTTTTTCCTTTGACAAATCTGTAAGAATATTGGCGGGCCAACCTACCCTGGCAAAAATGTTTAATGCCTGGCACACACTTTTAGCCCTGGTGTTGCTTAAAGCTACTGCTTCTGGTCATCGGGTGCCAAAATTCATGCATGTCAGTATGTACTCTTTCCTCTGGGTGTCTTTTTTTGGAAAAGGACCCAGAATATTTGCAGCTACTCACTGAAATGGAACCTCAATTATGGGGAGTGGCTGGAGAGGGGCTTTGACCTGGTCTTGGGGTTTTTTCACTTTTTGGCACACCTCACAAGACTGGACATAAGTAGAAACGTCTTTGTCCATTCCCTCCCAGTGGAATGACTTCCCCAAACGGTCTTTGGTCCTGTTCACCCCAGCATGGCCACTAGGATGATCGTGGGCTAAGCTTAAGAGCTTTACCAGGTACTTAGTTGGAACTACCAACTGTCCTTGAGAATACCAGTCTTTCTGGTGTCCACCAGAAAGAGTTTTCTTGTATAAAAGTTCTTTTTTTACAACAAACCGGGATCGTTAGAAGAGCTGAGAAGCGGGGGGTTGCTTCGTGCCACCACCCAAGCTCCCTGGAGGCTGTTATCTGCTTCCTGCTTCGCCAGGAACTGTTTCCTTGATGCTGGAGACATCAGTTTCTCATTGAATTGTGGACCTGGGCTTGGTCCCTCTTGAAGCAATGTAGGACGATGGGGCTGTTTTTGTTGACTGTGAACCGCTCTTTGCTGGCACACTATCTTGTATTTCAGGCTCCTGCTGAGCCTCTTGTGTAGGGTTATTTGCTGTTGCCAGTGCAGGCTTGCTGATGCCATCTGGAGTTGGAGTTGTAGACGGGGTTGCAAGCGCTGGATTCAGTGCTGGCAATGGTTTTGGTGCTGGTTGCTCCGCCAGCTCCGGTTTTGGGACTGGCTCTGTCTGGGTCTCTGCGACTGGATCCACTACTGCTGCCGCAAACATGGGCATGGGGTTCGGTTCCACCACCTTAGTATGGGTCTCTGGTAACACAGGCTGGGCCCTTGCAGAAGGCTCAGGAACAGAGCTAGGTGTGAAGGCTTGCTTAGCCTGGCTGCAGGTGACCATTCCCACCCTTTTGGCTAGCTTCACATGGTTGGCCAAGTCTTCCCCCAGCAGCATGGGAATGGGATCATCATAGACTGCAAAAGTCCACATTCCTGACCAGCCCTTGTACTGGACAGGCAACTTGGCTGTAAGCAAGTTTAGAGAGTTTGACATGAAGGGTTGAATCGTTACCAGAGCCTCTGGGCTGATGAATTTGGGGTTTACTAAGGATTGGTGGATAGCTGACACTTGTGCTCTAGTGTCCCTCCACGCGATAACCTTCTTCCAGCCCACACTCACGGTTTCCCTTTGCTCTGAGGGTATTTGGGAGGCATTTGGGCCTGGGGACCTTTGGTGTGATTTTGGTGTAATGAACTGCAATTTGTTGGGGTTCTTGGGGCAGCTGGCCTTTATATGCCCCAGCTCATTACATTTAAAACATCGCCCAACTGACTGGTCACTGGGGCGAGGTGGGTTGCTGGAGACTGGTGTGGTGTGACGATAAGGGGTTTGGGGTTTTCCTTGGGATGTAGGTGGGGCCTTTGGCTGCCCCCGGTGGTAGGGTTTTGTTTCAGGTTGCCCCTTCTGATATTTGCTTCAACTGCTACTAGTTTTTTTTCTTTTCTGCCACCTCCACCCATTTGGTTTCAATTTTCCCCACCTTGATTACAGTTTTGGGCTTCCCGTTTAGGATATACCTTTCTATTTCCTCAGGAAAACCCGCTAAGAACTGCTCCGTTTGCATTAGGAAAGGCAGATCTTCCAGAGATTTAACGCTTGCGCCTGATATTTAGGCATCCCAATTTTTTACAATGTGGTAGGTGTGTCAGAAAATGCCACATCTGGTTTTCACTTCAGGGACTCTGAACCGCTGATGGGCATGCTTGGGTGTTAGCCCCATTCTAATTCTGGCCTTGTTTTTAAAAAGTTCATAGCTGTTTATGTGTTTATTAGGCATTTTAGCTGCCACCTCTGCTAAGGGTCCACTGAGCTGTGGTCTCAGCTCCACCATATACTGGTCTATAGAGAGGCCGTACCCAAGGCAGGCCCTTTCGAAATTTTTTAAGAAGGCCTCTGTATCATCGCCTCCCTTGTAGGAGGGGAACTTTCTGGGATGGAAAGCGGTACCTGGAGAAGGATTGCTAGGGTTGTCCGGTATATTCTGCTTAGCCCTTGTCCTTTCTAACTTCAGTTTATGCTTCTGGGCCTCCCTCTGGGCCTCCATAGCCCTCTTGTGGGCAAGTTCCGCTGCCTCCACAGCTCTCTTGTGGGCAGTTTCTTCCTTGGCTTTTTTTGCCTCCATAGCTCTCTTGTGGGCAGCTTCTTCCCTGGCCATCTGTCTATTATGTTTTTTTATTCTTTCCTCAGCTTCGAATTTAGCTAATTCTAGTTTTTGTTGACATTGCGTTTTGCCATCCTAGCTCCTGCTTGCCTAGCTTATCTGAGCTAGAGAAAAAAAAACTTGCTTGTGAATTCCCTTGCAGGAAGTTAACTACCCTGCCCTCAGGCAGAGAAAAAAAATCTCCAGCTGCTCACAGCTTAAAAAAAAAAAAAAATCCCTTTGTTAAAAGAACCTAACACCTCTGCCTCCAGGCAAAGAGAGCAAAAAAATCTCTAGCTGCTCTCAGCTAAACAAAACCCTTTTTGGCTTTCAAGCAGCCAAAAGAAAAAAAAATTGTCCTTTTCAAAACCTACTGGGCTTTTGGATCAAAATGATCCCACCGTGCTGCCACCATGTCAGAGTTCCCTCCCCACTCTGAACTCTGGGCTACAGATGTGGGGACCCGCATGAAAGACCCCCTAAGCTTATTTTTACCAGCTTAGGTTAAAAACTTCCCCAAAGCACAAATTCCTTTCTAGCTTTAGTATTGCTGCCACCACCAAGTGATTTAAACAAGCATTCAGGGAGGGCCACTTGGAGCCCTACCTTCCCCAAATATCCCCCCAAGCCTCTACACCCCCTTTCCTGGGGAGGCTTGAGAATAATATCCTCACCAATTGGTACAAGTGAACACAGACCCAAATCCTTGGATCTTAAGAACAATGACAAATCAATTAGGTTCTTAAAAGAAGAATTTTAATTAAAGAAAAAGTAAAAGAATCACCTCTGTAAAATCAGGATGGTAAGTACTTTACAGAATAACAAAAGACTCAAGAACACAGAGGATTTCCCCTCTAGGCAAAACCGTAAAGTTACAAAAGCAGGGATAAACCTCCTCTTAGCACAGGGAAAATTCACAAGCTAAAACAAAAGGTAATCCAACACATTCCTTTTCTGATATTACTTACTATTTCTGCCAGACTAGATGCTTAGTTTAGATATGCTTAAGGAGATATAATTTTCCTGTCCTGGTTTCTTGGCTGGCTCTGAGAGACACAGACCAAAACCTTCCCACACAGATTTGAAAGTATCTTCTCCCCTTATTGGTCCTTTTGGTCATGTGCCACCCGGATTATCTGAGCTTCTTAACCCTTTACAAGTAAAAGAGGAATTAACCCTTTACAGGGTAAAGAGGGGTTTCATGCTACCCTTAGCTCTGTTTATGACATATGGTCTAGTTCAACTGATAGTTATTTTGGGAGATGGAGGAATCTGCATCTTGGTGACATTCACTAGATGAAATTATATGGCCTGCATTATACATGTCACACAAAATTACCATAATTATTCCTTCTGGCCTCAAAATCTATGAATAGGACAAGGCTGTCCCCTGTGTCTGGGGATTTCTATATCCTCAGGTACTTGTACAGCCCATCTCCCTGTCATAACTAAGCATTCTTCCCTCACTGACTGAGGAAATTCTCTTTTAGGCCCTTTTACCTTGGCACGTCACTTTGGTTGTAGTATGTCTCCAGCGCGATGAAGCTAGGTCCTCAGCAGGCTGTGGGCTCACAAGTTCCACCACAACACAATCTGGATCTGAAGCAGTCATGGATTCAGGAAACCTTAGCCAAAAGATCCCCAAATCTGCATTCGTTGGGGACATTCGCCCTCCCACTGCCAGGGCCTGGCTCCCAGAAACACATGTCACAGTATGGAACAACCGTCCACCTGCAGAGAGAGAACACCAGGATTCAGATTGGTACCTCTACAGGAAGACTGAGGGTTACCAGACCAAAGGCTTCAATCCCCTCTACCCTTCACTGCTGAGCACTGATAGTACAGTATGAATCTCCCCCTCCCCCTCCAGGGTCACCCCATTAATATTAGAGATCTCTGTGTGTGCTCCACCCTAGGGGGAGAACGTACCCCAAGTGTTACCAGACTTTTCCATTCTCACGCTTCCAACACGCCAGTTGTCCTCGTGTCTGACTAGGACATGGAAATCTCTTAGGCGGCAGTGTCGTCCATCCTGCTCTCCGAAGCCTCCAGTAGTGAGGACCACATGTGGTTTGATAAGTACAGAGTGGTGGCCATACCGCCTCAGGCCAGCAATTTCACAGTCTATTGTGCACACAGATGCAGAGATGCTACCAGCAACTCTAGGAGGGTCATCAGCAGAGAAAGCTGCAATCCAAAGAGAATGAGACTGAGGCATAGGGGTTTGTTTGCAGTAGTGCCCCAGACACGACACACAAGAACAGAGATTACCCTCTAGCCAGAAAAAAGTGAGAGAGCTCAAATTCTTTCACTTATCAAAGAGAATGAGAGGTGGGCTTGATTACAGTGTGTAAGTACCTTCACGAGGGGAAAACAGCAGGTACTAAAGGGCTCCTCATTCTGGCAGAGAAAGACAGAACACGAATCAATTACTGGAAGCTGATATGAGGCAAATTCAAATAGAAATAAGACACATTTTTAATGGTGAGGGTCATCAGCCATCGGAACAAACTGCCAAGGGGATGGTGGATTCTGCATCTCTTGTGATCTTCAAACTCAGATTAGTCCCTTTCTGGATGTTGCTTTAGTCAAACAAAACGTTTTTGTGCTTGATACAGGAGTAACTGATTGAAATTTTCTGGCCTGTGTTATACAGGAGGTCAGATCAGATGATCTAATGCCCCCTTCTGCCCTCTAAATTTATGAATTAGCAAAAGTTTGGGAACAGAACTGATGCTGTACACACAACAATGCCATACTGTATGTGTCGGGAGGACACCCCATCATAGGCAAAGCAGGTTAAATTAGGTCAATTAACCTTATATGCTGCACCTGGAGCCAGGGATCAATTAAAAACTACTAGACGATGAAATTCAGCTGGGAAGGAGCAGGTTGGGCCTGTATAAAGGGATGAAACAGAGACAACAAAGGGGCTGCAGGGGAAATAGCTTGCAGTCACTCCCTGGCAAAAGGGGGATTTGTTTGGGCTACAGAGTCTGGCAAGAAGTCAAAGAGGGGAAGTTTGGGCTGATAAACTGGGGGCAGGGGGGAAATAGAGAAGGGAAGTAGGAAGGAGTCCAAGGAAATAACAGGGTCAGGGAGCCAACAGACTATAGTTATTGAATACAAGGTCTCTGGGCTGGAAGTCAGAGTAATGGGTGGGCCCAGGTTCCCCTCCCAGCCACTGGGAAAAGGCAAAGGACCTGTCATTGGATCAGAAGACTGTCTGAGACAGCATGCAGACAGCTGATTCAGTGGGATCTACATAGAGCAGGAGGACTATGAGCGACCTGGCTGGACACCTGAGTCATGAAGAGGGAGCCTGAAGAGTCCTGGAGAGCGAGGGGGGGATGCAGTGTGAGGAGGGTATCTGACCTAAGAGCCGCTACTCCCCAGGGGCAGCCAAAAGGAGGTGCCCCAACAGTGAATGACCCACATGACACTGTGCCAAAACTGTGGTCCATCTAGTCCAGTATCCTGACTGACAATAGCCAGAGCTGCAGAGGAAGATGCAAGAAACCTTGCAATAGGTAATGTGGAATAATCTGCCCTCTGTCTTTGGTCTTTTCCTGAACCTTTTAGTTCAAGATGTGCTTAAACGTTGCACGGGGCTTAAATTTTGGAAGAGAAATTATATTAGCCTTAACTAATATAACTGGATATTCTTGTTATCCATATAAATGTCCAGTCTCTTTCTGAATGCTGCTAAGTCCTTGGTCTCAATGGGATCCTATGGCCAGAGCCGGCCCTAGGGTACAGCGAATCGGGGCGACCTCTCTGGGCTCCGCAGGCCAGTGTGATTAGCTGGCAGGGTCAGTCCCCGAAGTGATGGATTCGTCACTTCCACCCTGGGCCCTGCACCCCCCTAGGGACAGCCCTGCCTGTGGCAATGAGCTTGACTGTTCTAATTACTCTAGAATCTGTATGATTAATCAGATTGCCTTGAAATTTGATATACCTCATGAAAGTGGAGGGTACAATCAGTGATCCAAATTTGGGGCCATTTGACCAAGGGATTTCCGAGATTCAGGCCCTGGGGAAAAAAAACTGCTTTTCTTAAAGTTGACATGTTCTGGCAATGTTTTTTGTTCACAGATCACCACACCAGGAGTCTCAAATGCTCAAGGGTTCCCCAACAAAATGCATAACACCCACCAGCCCCTTGGAGGAAATCAAATTAAAATTTATTTGAAAGTTTGCTTCTTCCATCAGGCAAGATAAGGCTCATGCACCTATTCATGCGCCTAATGGATTACACCGAGCATGCACAGACAGAGGAATTAACATGATGTTTAGCCTTTAGAGTTTCATACCAGACGGCTAGTTCACGGGTATAAGAAATAGTCCTTTGAACCTGACCCAACAAGTGTCAGTTTGAGTTCCACCTTGTGCAGAAATTTAGAAAAGGTTGGAAGGTATATTGCTAAAATCTTTTTCTGTCACGGTTGGGGTTTTTTTTGTGTGTGTGTTTTTTTTATTTTGGGGCTAATAATTAAAGTGTATCTGTAAAAAAAACAAAAAATTAGATATGCAAATGCTTGCTGGCAGGAAAGGGCATTTTAGGGGGTGGAAAAGCAGGGGAAATAGAAGTGACAGGGGGTTGGGAGCAGCATCAAGGGGAAGGGAATAAATGGAGGTGGGTGATAGTGGGACTGGGTGAAAAGGGGACAGGGTGGAACAGGGGCAGAGGTGCCTGAGAGAGAGAGAGAGAGAGAGAGAGAGAGAGAGAGAGTGTGTGTGTGTGTGTGTGTGTGTGTGTGTGTGTGTCAGTCAGAGAAGATCAGGGAATATGTGCCCCTCTCCCTATCCCTTGCCATTAGCTGAGATCTGAGGGTTCCTGCTCCCTGGGGGTGACTGAGGCCTGCCCCTGTGTGTGTGCATGCCATGATCTGAGATATCTGGGGGGATCCTGCCAATCCAGGAGGATCTGACTCCCCTCTATGCCCCCCCTCATGAGAGCCAGGTTCTGGAGTTCTGAGCCCCACTCCCTAAGCCCACCTCATGGGAAGTGGAATGTGGGGTGCTTTGTCCTTTGTAGAGGATACAAAAATTTTGCAGACAATACAAAATTACTCAAGATAGTTAAGTTCAAAGCAGACTGAGTGACTGGGCAAGGGAGTGGCAGATGAAATTCAATGTTGATAAATGCAAAGGAATGCACATTGGAAAACATAATCCCAACTACACATACAAAATGATGGGTCTAAATTAGCTGTTGCGACTCAAGAAAGATGTTGGAGTCATCGTGGACAGTTATCTGAAAACATCTGCTCAATTTGCAGCACCAGGCAAAAAAGCTAACTGTGCTAGGAACCATTCAGAAAGGGATAGATAAGACAGAAAAGATCATAATGCCACTGTGATGGGTTGCATCACAGAAACCCCTTTGGGGCTGCCAACTGATGTGCTTACCCTGCCAGCTTGGGACTCCAGCACCCTGTCTTGTTGAGCCAGACATGCAAGTATGCTCCAGCACAGATCCAAGGTCTGAACCACATCCCCTAAGAGCTGTAGGCTTAAACTGAAAGCAGCTTAAGAAGTGTGCTTGTCTTTAACACTCAGATGCCCAACTCCCAATGGGGTCCAAACCCCAAATAAATCCGTTTTACCCTGTATAAGCTTTAACTCATAAATTGTTTGCCCTCTATAACACTGATAGAGAGATATGCACAGCTGTTTCCTCTCCCCCCCCCCCAGGTATTAATACATACTCTGGGTTAATTAATAAGTGAAAAGTGATTTTATTAAATACAGAAAGTAGGATTTAAGTGGTTCCAAGTAGTAACAGACAGAACAAAGTGAATTACCAAGCAAAATAAAACAAAACATGCCAGTCTATGCCTAGTACAGTAAGAAAACTGAATACAGATAAAATCTCACCCTCAGAGATGGTTCAATAAGTTTCTTTCACAGACTGGACACCTTCCTAGTGTGGGCACAATCCTTTCCCCTGGTACATCCCTTGTTCCAGCTCAGGTCGTAGCTAGGGGTTTTCTCATGATTGCAGCCCCCTTTGTTCTGTTCCACCCACTTATATATCTTTTGCATATGGCGGGAATCCTTTGTCCCTCTCTGGGTTCCCACCCCTCCTTTTCAATGGAAAAGCACCAGGTTAAAGATGGATTCCAGTTCAGGTGACATGATCACATGTCACTATAAGACTTCATTACCCACTTGCCAGCACACACATATACAGGAAGACTTACAAGTAAAACAGAGCCATCTACAGTCAATTGTCCTGGTTAATGGGAGCCATCAAGATTCCAAACCACCATTAATGGCCCACACTTTGCATAATTACAATAGGCCCTCAGAGTTATATTTCATATTTCTAGTTTCAGATACAAGAGTGATACATTTATACAAATAGGATGACCACACTCAGTAGATTATAAGCTTTGTAATGATACCTTACAAGAGACCTTTTGCATGAAGCATATTTTAGTTACATTATATTCACACTCATCAGCATACTTTCATAAAATCATATAGAATGCAACGTCACAGCCACTATACAAATCTATGCTTAACACAAACAAAAGGAAGTACTACTTAACACAACACACAGTCAATCTGTGGAACATGTTGCCAGGGGATGTTGTGAAGGCCAAACAGAATTAGGTAAGTTCATGGAGGATAGGGCCATCAATGGCTATTAGCCAAGATGGTCAGGGACCCAACCCCATGCTCTGGGTGTCCCTAAACCTCTTACTGTTGGAAGCTGTGAATGGACAACAGGGACGGATCACTTGATAAATTGCCCTGTTCTGTTCACTCTCTCTGATTAATCTGGCACCAGCCACTGACCCACTATGGCCATTCTTATGTTCTTAAACTCCTGTCCTTCTAGGAGGTCTGAACCCATCTCCTGCCAGAGATCCTCATTCAGTGCACAGGATGTATCAGGGTTGTGTGGTAAAAGAGGATGTGATATGTAGAACCCTATCTCAGTTATTGCAAAAGTTGGAAAATGTGTGGTGAATGAAACAGGGAACTGCAAGAAGGCTTAGCTCCCTTCCCCTTCCTCCATCACATACCTTTTACGTACTGTCATAGAATCATAGAACTGGAAGGGACCTTGCGAGGTCATCTAGTCCAGTCCCCTGCACTCATGGCAGGAATCAGTATTATCTAGACCATTCCTGACAGCTGTTTGTCTAACCTGTTCTTAGAAACCGCCAATGACG